TTATAGCAGATAGGAGCAGAAACATCTGGATGTGCGTGGAAAGAGTCGGTTTCACAGACCGGTTTCACCTGTTAGGCTGGATTTTTCCAGTTTCACATGAAAATGGGTTGAGCAGTAAAACAGGTTATTAACCCACAGGTGTACCTTAGTGGAAGGTGCTGCTGGATCTTGGAAATGAGCCCCATGCTGGGATCGGACTGCATGTACATGGTGGCCAGGATCGCTATGGCAACGAAGAGCCAGGAGGAAGGGCTGGCTGGGTACACCCCCTTAATCACCCGGTTCTGTAACGTGATGAACGACACACACACAGAGGATCGGTGTAAAGTTGGGTGGGGTAAAAGTCGACAGTGGAGTTCCTCTTGGGTCTATTCGTGGGCCTTTATCTTTTCCACAGTTTCGTCTGATGTTGGCATTAGATGCACATGGCTCTACAGTACAATGTACACAAAATGATGAGAACTTTTAAGTATGCATGCGGCAGATGCTTCTATCCAAAGTAGATCTAGCGGTGCAGCCAACAACAAAGCTAACAAGTAAGCTAATGGTTCCAGAGTCAGAAACCCCAAAAGCCTGAAATAACCAGCGTAGGAGGTCTTCTGAAAACACCAGGAAAGGGGTAGGCCACCTACTCTGGCCCAGAGGGAGGTCCAACCTCTAGTGGAGGAGTTTAAAACTACCACAGAGGTACAAGAAAAACCCAGATCCACGCATGCTCACCTTCATGCGGCTGACTCGTTTCTTCCAGGATCTCACTCCGGAGAGGTAGATCTGGTTCAGGGCCTGGTAGGACAGCTGGAGGTCAATGCCTTCTGGCGTTATGGTGAACTGGAACGCCACAGCCTGGTGGGCCTCCGCCATGGCTATGGAAAGGAGATCCAAATGGAAACCATCAATCACCTGGTTGGTGTGAAAATTAGAACATCTCATGCTTTAAACGTGTTTGTAAAGTGGGAGTCGGCTCGGGGTTAGTGTGTGCATCAACTCTGGGTAAGTCGACGTGTCAGAGGAATGTTGTTGCTGCTGCACAGAGTCCTGCAGCTCTTTTATTCCCATCTCTTCTCTGCTGCGACTAAAGCGAGCCGATTCCAGTAAATCACGGATAAAACAGTTCAATCCTCCGCCTCTACAGCTCGGACCGAAGGAGGAACACAAACCAGAAAATCCGAATGTAAAAGAAACGCAAAGAGAACCTTTCAGCGCTGACGATGAAGCGAGGAAATGAATTAACTGTCAGAAATCCCAGAATGGAAAAATCTATGTTTTCATCTTTGAAGTAGCCTTCCCCTTTCAGAGATGATGTTTTCAGAAATCTGTAAAAGTGATGATCTCATCCTGCTCTGTGATTTAATGTAAACTATGCGTCTTTATTTAGTTACTTTGCTAACCACGCCCCCTGCCCCGCAGAGCGCCACGCAATAGGAACTGAGAGTCGACCAGAACTAACCAATAGCGTTAAGACTACGGCTTACTGCTTCAAATGTAAGGAACGCCTCGGCTGATGCAGAGTTGATGAACTTTCCACGGACAGCAAGTCTCTAAAATATAAACACAACATGACAGGAGAATAATACTCATAAAACAACGTGTTTTAGCGGTTTGTCGGCTACAGAAGAACCTTTATAAACAACAGTTACACACGAGCATGGCACAACACAGCAGAGCCTCATCTTCAGGTCAACACTCTGCAGTCCACCTACACCTGAAGGACAAGGGACACACCTATGAAGATGACAAAGTCCACATTCTGGACAGAGAAGACAGATGATGTGAGAGACGAGTAAAAGGAGCTATCTATGTCAAACATGGAAAACCCACTTAAAATAGGGGCGGGGCTTAGATTTCACCTTTCTAGTACCTATAATGCAGCTTCAGTCTAGGGTTGTCACGGTAACCGGTGTAGCGGTAAACCCCGGTAAAAAAGTTGGCAATAATAATAACCGTCTTGTTTTTTAAAACATATATTATCTCGGTGGATTAGCGTGGCTGCGGTGTAGGCGCGGTGACCCTTACCAGCCACCATATCATCTGCTGAAGTTGCCGGCGGCACATGCGCACTTTGTTGTTTACAACCAAAACTTTCTTGAAGCTAAAGCTGAAATAATGGTCAAAGGAGGAGACGGCAGCGCTCAGGAGGACATTTATTATCCCTCAAAGAAGACAAAGTGGGAAGTACGGGCATCTTTTGGATATTTGAAGAATGCCGAGGGACAGTTGATAGAAGACGGCTATCCTGTTTGCAGCACGTGCAGAAAAAGTGTCTGTGAAAGGCAGCAACGCTTCAAATCTCATGACACATCTGCGTGACCATCACCCACAACTCTACAGTCAACGCAAGGCAAGCCAACGTTAGCGTTTTAGCTAAAATGCGTGATCCGAGGATTTGGGTTGAGGGAGAATGCAACGAGTCGCTAGCCTAGTGAACTAGACCAAATTCTTGCTTTGCAAAGAATGGTCTAGGCACGCTCCATTGGAACCTCCGCAGCTCCTACCAGGACTCTGGCTAGCCAATCACAGCTCTCTAGAGGGGTTGCAAACACATAAAGAGCTGTGATTGGTCCATAATGGTGGGCCAATCATAGTGCTCTATCTGCTTAGTGAACAAATCACAGAGCTTTATCCGCTTTGTGGGCCAATCAGGCCACTCTATATGCCTGGTGGGTGGGATGATGCAACAGAGTGAAACAAGAGTATGTCACATTCATTGTCCAGTGGAATGCGGAGATCATTTGAAAGACAACGGTAGAACCCGCCCCACAACCCAGAGCCGTCAATGGAGCATGGCCAGACTAAATAATACATTTATTTAGTCTGGCTTGCCAGGCTAACGAGTCGCTATATAAAGCAGCCGCAGTGCCGCTACCTGCATATAAACCGTGTCGCGGACACCGCCATGTTGAAATGACGCTATGCATTACGGGGCTCCCAGGGGCCGATAAGAGTTGGTCTCTCTCCGAGAATAATTATGAATTTAACAATGATTACTGCCTGATGACATTTTCCCACATCTGCAAAGCTCACTGGAAGGACACAAACCGAGGACAATATTTTCCTGATATAGGGTTTATTACTCAAGTAAGGGTAAAAAAGTATCTGATTAGAAGGCTACTTGAGTACTGAGTATCATCTGGTCTAATACTTTTAAAATGATGACATCAAACAGACATAAAATAAGAAGTTATGGGCAAATATTGGTATTTTAAAGACTAAAGGGGAAAAATGTAAACAAATAAACAACATAATTACAAAATAACACATTTTAGGCTAAATTTAGACACAAACCGAGGACAATATTTCCTGACATACAGGGTTTATTTAGTTGTCTGAAAATGTAACACGTTTAAAAAAAATACCGCGATAATACCGAAAATCGTGGTAATTTTGGTCACAATAACCTTGAGGTTACATTTTCACACCGTCACAACCCTACTTCAGTTTAGGTCACACCTTCCTGCATCTCATCAACATGATGACTCATCAGGGGATGGAGAGGAGGGGTACTCAGAGTAGTTTCTGCTGGTTAAACAACAACAGACGGCTACAGCTTATAAACCTGACTCTCCTGTATCCCAGTTAGAACTGTCAAAGCTCCTCAGATGAGAAGAGAAACATCTTCAAGAAACCAAAGAAGTCCAGAAAATTTATTTGTCAGATTAAAGAAAACCTAGTCACCAGAATATTCAAAGATTATTGTCACTACGTGTTCCATCAATACCTACTAAAGAGGCTGAAATCTCAAACAGACTGTGTATTTTCCCTGGCAATAGGGGGCAGTACATACCCAAATCATTGCAGGCAAGCCGTATTTTTGTGTTAGAGTCATTTTATTCTATTATTATTATTATTATTATTATTATATGTATATAAATAATTGTATTTATACTCCTCTGTCTGCGTCGGTGCGGAGACACGTAACGCCAATTTGCATCGGCGCAACTGCTCTCCAATGGGCTCAGACATGCCCAAAATTTTAAACATCCGTCAAAAATGACGGAGACCGTAAGCTTGTGATTGGTCAGGACATCACTTTCTGTAAGTTCATCACCTGCACCGCACATTTTTTCAGGGTGGGCACGTACGAAGCGCCGGCACTTTTTCCAAGAACACTTTCTTCTAATTTGTTGCTCCATTGTGGCCCATGATGCTTCACCAGTTACGTCATAAATGGGTGGAGGTGAAGTTTCACTTAGTTAGGGATGACTTATGTCTCGTTGAAGGGAGCCGTTCATTAGTTGGTCCTTACCCCCATAAATCAAATCAGATCAACTTTATTTATAAAGCGCTTTCACGTGGCCAAAATGGACAAACAAAGCGCTGTACAACCAATAAAAAGCACCACAATAGGACAGACATATAACCATTAAAAATACAATAAGAAATCAGTTTAAAATACAATACGAAATCCTGAGTGCAAGTTCGCAATCCATATCCGGCCTACTTCTCCCAAACTTCAATGTCCAAACGCCAGCGAGAACAGATGTGTTTTTAGTCTGCTTTTAAAGGTTTCCAATGATTTGGCCGACTTTACATCAGCTGGCAACTCATTCCAGAGACTTGGTCCAAGTACTGAAAAGGCACGACTCCCACGAGACTTCAGGCTGTACCTGGGCACAGTTAGTAGTCTCTGGTCAGCTGACCTAAGGGAACGCACCGGGACATGTTGGTGGATGATTTCAGACAGATATTTAGGTGCCCCTGAGTTTAACGCCTTAAACACAAACAGGATGTTCTTAAACCTGATGCGATAAAAAACAGGAAGTCAATGCAAGGCACGTAGGACTGGTGTTATATGTTCAGACCTCCTGGTAGATGTTAGCAACCGAGCAGCCGAGTTCTGAACCGCCTGGAGGCGTGCTACTGGAGCTTGCCTAAGCCCCGCATATAGCGAGCTGCAATAATCCAGCCTGCAGGTAACAAAGGCATGGATTACAGTTTCCAAATGACTATGTGACAGAAATGGCTTAATTTTTGCTATGCGGCGTAGATGAAAAAAAGCAAGATCTCACGATTCCGTTCACTTGAGCACCAAATCTGAGCTCTGCATCAAGTTTTACCCCTAAGTTAGTGACCACCGCCTTTTGATGCGGTGCCAGAGTGGAAAAATCAAGCCCTTGGGCACCGCCTGGGCAGGGGTGTCAAACTCAAACTCACACGGGGCCGAAATGAAACTCTGGGACGGAGTCGAGGGCCAAACTTAATATTTTTTGGAAAAGTGACGGCGAATTTGCACATTTTCTTTATCAACATTTATGCAATTTAGAACCTTTAAATTAGGAAACAAACTTATTTCTGCATTAACACTGAATGTGGAATAACCAAATTACACACGAGCAAGTCAGTTTTAAATAAAAGGCATCAGTGGTATTCATTACTTGTGGTATAATCAGCATTTTTAAAATCTATTCAGGATTTATGTTTTCTTTTTTATTCATTTTTCTTATTTTTATTCTCCTTTTTTCTCCTGTAATACGTGTCATCGCTGCTGTGACGTCTAGCTTTCCCCACTGAGGAACAATAAAGGGATTTTCTATTCTATTCATCTATCTGCAGCCTTTCCACTTCCTGTTTACTGTAGGTTAAATCTTTTCTCACGGGCCAACAACAAAATAAAAATATAATTTTATCTTAAATGAAAATGCAACATCTCACCTGTTAACTTTCATGTTTTGGAGCAGAAAAAGAGCATAAAACCAACATATTTAAAGCTCAGTTTGCTCCACTGGTTTACTGTGATGCTCACCTGTTCTAGCCAGATACCTGCATCATGGGGTTGATCTGAGCTGAGGAGGAGACTCCTGTTGTTTTGTTCATCTTCATCATAATAATGACAACATTAGATGACAACAGGTGCTCACATAGGTTT